AGGGCGTGCTTCGGTGGTTTGGGCACGTTGAGCGAATGAGTGAAGACCGAATGGTGAAGAAAATATATAGCGCGAAAGTTAATAAATATATAGCGAGTCTTGTATTTACTTTTACTGCATTGTGTGCTCGATGCTTGCGAAATAAGTTTATTTTGGTTTAAACTCATACGACATATTTTTTGTTAACAATGGAAAACAACGGTGTAGACGTAAAACATGAAGAATATCAATACCTTAACCTTATTAGGCAAATAATCGAAAAGGGTGATAAAAGGGTTGATAGAACAGGTGTGGGCACTTTATCGATATTTGGTGCAATGCAAAGATACTCTCTTCAAAATAATACTTTGCCACTTTTAACTACCAAACGCGTATTCACAAGAGGAGTAATCGAAGAATTGTTATGGATGATTTCGGGTTCTACAAACAGCAACGCTCTTGCCGAAAAAGGAGTACATATTTGGGATGCAAATGGTTCTCGGATGTTTCTTGATAATCTAGGTTTTACTGATCGTGAAGAAGGTGACCTTGGCCCTGTATATGGTTTCCAATGGAGGCACAGTGGGGCCAAATATATAGATGCAAAGACTGACTACAGTAATCAAGGAATTGATCAGCTACAAAATGTTATAAACACAATTAAAAATAATCCTGCTGATAGGAGAATGATAATGTGTGCATGGAATCCATCGGATCTAAAGAAAATGGCCCTTCCTCCTTGCCATTGTCTTGTTCAATTTCATGTTGCTAATGGAAAACTGTCATGCCTAATGTATCAAAGAAGTGCAGACATGGGCCTTGGTGTACCATTTAACATTGCAAGTTATTCTCTGTTGACACACATGATAGCACACATCACAGGCTTACAGCCTGGGGAATTCATTCATACAACTGGTGATACTCATGTCTACTTAAATCATATTGAACCACTTAAGAAGCAATTAGAAAGACATCCAAAACCATTTCCAACATTAGAGTTTGCTCGCCAAATTGAATCAATTGATGATTTTAAATATGAAGACTTTGTCATCAAAAATTACAGTCCTCATCCTAAATATTAAAAGGTGTCGAGGTAGACCGAGACTAACTTTCGAAGACCATGTGAGCAAATTGCTCGAAGAGGGTAGGGTCAAAAGTACTCGGATACCTAGACGTGCATGCATGAAGAAGATAATGAATCTGAAAGAAGCGAAAGAGGTTTGTAAGGATCGTGACACTTGGCGATCTGTTCTCTCTGGCTACCCCGTCAGGGATTGTGCGTGAAGATAAGTAAGTAAGTAAGTAACTGACGGCGCGTCCTTTATGCGTAGGTGTATACGGTGGTGAATACAGAGAGTGGGCAGCTTCTTGCCATGAAGGAGCTGAGTGTGTGCGCCGGCGACCGGAGAGCGCTGCGCCGTGCTGCCAATGAGCTGCGCGTGCTGGAGGGCGTGCTGCACCCGCACCTCGTGCGGTACTACGGCTGCGAGCTGCACCGCGTACGTTGCACACACATTGCACACAACTGCACACGTGCTGCACCCGCACCTCGTGCGGTACTACGGCTGCGAGCTGCACCGCGTACGTTGCACACACATTGCACACAACTGCACACGTGCTGCACCCGCACCTCGTGCGGTACTACGGCTGCGAGCTGCACCGCGTACGTTGCACACACATTGCACACAACTGCACACGTGCTGCACCCGCACCTCGTGCGGTACTACGGCTGCGAGCTGCACCGCGTACGTTGCACACACATTGCACACAACTGCACACGTGCTGCACCCGCACCTCGTGCGCTACTACGGCTGCGAGCTGCACCGCGTACGTTGCACACACATTGCACACAACTGCACACGTGCTGCACCCGCACCTCGTGCGGTACTACGGCTGCGAGCTGCACCGCGTACGTTGCACACACATTGCACACAACTGCACACGTGCTGCACCCGCACCTCGTGCGGTACTACGGCTGCGAGCTGCACCGCGTACGTTGCACACACATTGCACACAACTGCACACGTGCTGCACCCGCACCTCGTGCGGTACTACGGCTGCGAGCTGCACCGCGTACGTTGCACACACATTGCACACAACTGCACACGTGCTGCACCCGCACCTCGTGCGGTACTACGGCTGCGAGCTGCACCGCGTACGTTGCACACACATTGCACACAACTGCACACGTGCTGCACCCGCACCTCGTGCGGTACTACGGCTGCGAGCTGCACCGCGTACGTTGCACACACATTGCACACAACTGCACACGTGCTGCACCCGCACCTCGTGCGGTACTACGGCTGCGAGCTGCACCGCGTACGTTGCACACACATTGCACACAACTGCACACGTGCTGCACCCGCACCTCGTGCGGTACTACGGCTGCGAGCTGCACCGCGTACGTTGCACACACATTGCACACAACTGCACACGTGCTGCACCCGCACCTCGTGCGGTACTACGGCTGCGAGCTGCACCGCGTACGTTGCACACACATTGCACACAACTGCACACGTGCTGCACCCGCACCTCGTGCGGTACTACGGCTGCGAGCTGCACCGCGTACGTTGCACACACATTGCACACAACTGCACACGTGCTGCACCCGCACCTCGTGCGGTACTACGGCTGCGAGCTGCACCGCGTACGTTGCACACACATTGCACACAACTGCACACGTGCTGCACCCGCACCTCGTGCGGTACTACGGCTGCGAGCTGCACCGCGTACGTTGCACACACATTGCACACAACTGCACACGTGCTGCACCCGCACCTCGTGCGGTACTACGGCTGCGAGCTGCACCGCGTACGTTGCACACACATTGCACACAACTGCACACGTGCTGCACCCGCACCTCGTGCGGTACTACGGCTGCGAGCTGCACCGCGTACGTTGCACACACATTGCACACAACTGCACACGTGCTGCACCCGCACCTCGTGCGGTACTACGGCTGCGAGCTGCACCGCGTACGTTGCACACACATTGCACACAACTGCACACGTGCTGCACCCGCACCTCGTGCGGTACTACGGCTGCGAGCTGCACCGCGTACGTTGCACACACATTGCACACAACTGCACACGTGCTGCACCCGCACCTCGTGCGGTACTACGGCTGCGAGCTGCACCGCGTACGTTGCACAAACATTGCACACACATTGCACACAACTGCACACGTGCTGCACCCGCACCTCGTGCGCTACTACGGCTGCGAGCTGCACCGCGTACGTTGCACAAACATTGCACACAACTGCACACGTGCTGCACCCGCACCTCGTGCGGTACTACGGCTGCGAGCTGCACCGCGTACGTTGCACAAACATTGCACACACATTGCACACAACTGCACACGTGCTGCACCCGCACCTCGTGCGCTACTACGGCTGCGAGCTGTACCGCGTACGTTGCACAAACATTGCACACAACTGCACACGTGCTGCACCCGCACCTCGTGCGGTACTACGGCTGCGAGCTGCACCGCGTACGTTGCACAAACATTGCACACACATTGCACACAACTGCACACGTGCTGCACCCGCACCTCGTGCGCTACTACGGCTGCGAGCTGCACCGCGTACGTTGCACAAACATTGCACACAACTGCACACGTGCTGCACCCGCACCTCGTGCGGTACTACGGCTGCGAGCTGCACCGCGTACGTTGCACAAACATTGCACACACATTGCACACAACTGCACACGTGCTGCACCCGCACCTCGTGCGCTACTACGGCTGCGAGCTGCACCGCGTACGTTGCACAAACATTGCACACACATTGCACACAACTGCACACGTGCTGCACCCGCACCTCGTGCGCTACTACGGCTGCGAGCTGCACCGCGTACGTTGCACAAACATTGCACACAACTGCACACGTGCTGCACCCGCACCTCGTGCGGTACTACGGCTGCGAGCTGCACCGCGTACGTTGCACAAACATTGCACACACATTGCACACAACTGCACACGTGCTGCACCCGCACCTCGTGCGCTACTACGGCTGCGAGCTGCACCGCGTACGTTGCACAAACATTGCACACAACTGCACACGTGCTGCACCCGCACCTCGTGCGGTACTACGGCTGCGAGCTGCACCGCGTACGTTGCACAAACATTGCACACACATTGCACACAACTGCACACGTGCTGCACCCGCACCTCGTGCGCTACTACGGCTGCGAGCTGCACCGCGTACGTTGCACAAACATTGCACACAACTGCACACGTGCTGCACCCGCACCTCGTGCGGTACTACGGCTGCGAGCTGCACCGCGTACGTTGCACAAACATTGCACACACATTGCACACAACTGCATACGTGCTGCACCCGCACCTCGTGCGCTACTACGGCTGCGAGCTGCACCGCGTACGTTGCACAAACATTGCACACAACTGCACACGTGCTGCACCCGCACCTCGTGCGGTACTACGGCTGCGAGCTGCACCGCGTACGTTGCACAAACATTGCACACACATTGCACACAACTGCACACGTGCTGCACCCGCACCTCGTGCGCTACTACGGCTGCGAGCTGCACCGCGTACGTTGCACAAACATTGCACACACATTGCACACAACTGCACACGTGCTGCACCCGCACCTCGTACGCTACTACGGCTGCGAGCTGCACCGCGTACGTTGCACAAACATTGCACACACATTGCACACAACTGCACACGTGCTGCACCCGCACCTCGTGCGGTACTACGGCTGCGAGCTGCACCGCGTACGTTGCACAAACATTGCACACACATTGCACACAACTGCACACGTGCTGCACCCGCACCTCGTGCGCTACTACGGCTGCGAGCTGCACCGCGTACGTTGCACAAACATTGCACACACATTGCACACAACTGCACACGTGCTGCACCCGCACCTCATGCGCTACTACGGCTGCGAGCTGCACCGCGTACGTTGCACAAACATTGCACACACATTGCACACAACTGCACACGTGCTGCACCCGCACCTCGTGCGCTACTACGGCTGCGAGCTGCACCGCGTACGTTGCACAAACATTGCACACAACTGCACACGTGCTGCACCCGCACCTCGTGCGGTACTACGGCTGCGAGCTGCACCGCGTACGTTGCACAAACATTGCACACACATTGCACACAACTGCACACGTGCTGCACCCGCACCTCGTGCGCTACTACGGCTGCGAGCTGCACCGCGTACGTTGCACAAACATTGCACACACATTGCACACAACTGCACACGTGCTGCACCCGCACCTCGTACGCTACTACGGCTGCGAGCTGCACCGCGTACGTTGCACAAACATTGCACACACATTGCACACAACTGCACACGTGCTGCACCCGCACCTCGTGCGGTACTACGGCTGCGAGCTGCACCGCGTACGTTGCACAAACATTGCACACATATTGCACACAACTGCACACGTGCTGCACCCGCACCTCGTGCGCTACTACGGCTGCGAGCTGCACCTCGTACGTTGCACAAACATTGAACACATATTGCACACAACTGCACACGTGCTGCACCCGCACCTCGTGCGCTACTACGGCTGCGAGCTGCACCGCGTACGTTGCACAAACATTGCACACACATTGCACACAACTGCACACGTGCTGCACCCGCACCTCGTGCGGTACTACGGCTGCGAGCTGCACCGCGTACGTTGCACAAACATTGCACACACATTGCACACAACTGCACACGTGCTGCACCCGCACCTCGTGCGCTACTACGGCTGCGAGCTGCACCGCGTACGTTGCACAAACATTGCACACACATTGCACACAACTGCACACGTGCTGCACCCGCACCTCGTGATCTACTACGGCTGCGAGCTGCACCGCGTACGTTGCACAAACATTGCACACACATTGCACACAACTGCACACGTGCTGCACCCGCACCTCGTGCGCTACTACGGCTGCGAGCTGCACCGCGTACGTTGCACAAACATTGCACACACATTGCACACAACTGCACACGTGCTGCACCCGCACCTCATGCGCTACTACGGCTGCGAGCTGCACCGCGTACGTTGCACAAACATTGCACACACATTGCACACGTGCTGCACCCGCACCTCGTGCGCTACTACGGCTGCGAGCTGCACCGCGTACGTTGCACAAACATTGCACACAACTGCACACGTGCTGCACCCGCACCTCGTGCGCTACTACCGCTGCGAGCTGCACCGCGTACGTTGCACACACATTGCACACACATTGCACACATTGCACACGTGCTGCACCCGCACCTCGTGCGCTACTACGGCTGCGAGCTGCACCGCGTACGTTGCACAAACATTGCACACAACTGCACACGTGCTGCACCCGCACCTCGTGCGCTACTACCGCTGCGAGCTGCACCGCGTACGTTGCACACATATTGCACACACATTGCACACAACTGCACACGTGCTGCACCCGCACCTCGTGCGGTACTACGGCTGCGATCTGCACCGCGTACGTTGCACAAACATTGCACATACATTGCACACAACTGCACACGTGCTGCACCCGCACCTCGTGCGCTACTACGGCTGCGAGCTGCACCGCGTACGTTGCACAAACATTGCACACACATTGCTCACAACTGCACACGTGCTGCACCCGCACCTCGTGCGCTACTACGGCTGCGAGCTGCACCGCGTACGTTGCACAAACATTGCACACACATTGCACACAACTGCACACGTGCTGCACCCGCACCTCGTGCGCTACTACGGCTGCGAGCTGCACCGCGTACGTTGCACAAACATTGCACACACATTGCACACAACTGCACACGTGCTGCACCCGCACCTCGTGCGCTACTACGGCTGCGAGCTGCACCGCGTACGTTGCACAAACATTGCACACACATTGCACACAACTGCACACGTGCTGCACCCGCACCTCGTGTGCTACTACGGCTGCGAGCTGCACCGCGTACGTTGCACAAACATTGCACACACATTGCACACGTGCTGCACTCGCACCTCGTGCGCTACTACGGCTGCGAGCTGCACCGCGTACGTTGCACAAACATTGCACACACATTGCACACAACTGCACACGTGCTGCACCCGCACCTCGTGCGCTACTACGGCTGCGAGCTGCACCGCGTACGTTGCACAAACATTGCACACACATTGCACACAACTGCACACGTGCTGCACCCGCACCTCGTGCGCTACTACGGCTGCGAGCTGCACCTCGTACGTTGCACAAACATTGCACACACATTGCACACAACTGCACACGTGCTGCACCCGCACCTCGTGCGCTACTACGGCTGTGAGCTGCACCGCGTACGTTGCACAAACATTGCACACACATTGCACACAACTGCACACGTGCTGCACCCGCACCTCGTGCGCTACTACGGCTGCGAGCTGCACCGCGTACGTTGCACAAACATTGCACACACATTGCACACAACTGCACACGTGCTGCACCCGCACCTCGTGCGGTACTACGGCTGCGAGCTGCACCGCGTACGTTGCACACACATTGCACACAACTGCACACGTGCTGCACCCGCACCTCGTGCGCTACTACGGCTGCGAGCTGCACCGCGTACGTTGCACAAACATTGCACACACATTGCACACAACTGCACACGTGCTGCACCCGCACCTCGTGATCTACTACGGCTGCGAGCTGCACCGCGTACGTTGCACAAACATTGCACACACATTGCACACAACTGCACACGTGCTGCACCCGCACCTCGTGATCTACTACGGCTGCGAGCTGCACCGCGTACGTTGCACAAACATTGCACACACATTGCACACAACTGCACACGTGCTGCACCCGCACCTCGTGCGCTACTACGGCTGCGAGCTGCACCGGGTACGTTGCACAAACATTGCACACACATTGCACACAACTGCACACGTGCTGCACCCGCACCTCGTGCGCTACTACGGCTGCGAGCTGCACCGCGTACGTTGCACAAACATTGCACACACATTGCACACAACTGCACACGTGCTGCACCCGCACCTCGTGCGCTACTACGGCTGCGAGCTGCACCGAGTACGTTGCACAAACATTGCACACACATTGCACACAACTGCACACGTGCTGCACCCGCACCTCGTGCGCTACTACGGCTGCGAGCTGCACCGCGTACGTTGCACAAACATTGCACACACATTGCACACAACTGCACACGTGCTGCACCCGCACCTCGTGCGCTACTACGGCTGCGAGCTGCACCGCGTACGTTGCACAAACATTGCACACACATTGCACACAACTGCACACGTGCTGCACCCGCACCTCGTGCGCAACTACGGCTGCGAGCTGCACCGCGTACGTTGCACAAACATTGCACACACATTGCACACAACTGCACACGTGCTGCACCCGCACCTCGTGCGCTACTACGGCTGCGAGCTGCACCGGGTACGTTGCACAAACATTGCACACACATTGCACACAACTGCACACGTGCTGCACCCGCACCTCGTGCGCTACTACGGCTGCGAGCTGCACCGCGTACGTTGCACAAACATTGCACACACATTGCACACAACTGCACACGTGCTGCACCCGCACCTCGTGCGCTACTACGGCTGCGAGCTGCACCGCGTACGTTGCACAAACATTGCACACACATTGCACACAACTGCACACGTGCTGCACCCGCACCTCGTGCGCTACTACGGCTGCGAGCTGCACCGCGTACGTTGCACAAACATTGCACACACATTGCACACAACTGCACACGTGCTGCACCCGCACCTCGTGCGCTACTACGGCTGCGAGCTGCACCGAGTACGTTGCACAAACATTGCACACACATTGCACACAACTGCACACGTGCTGCACCCGCACCTCGTGCGCTACTACGGCTGCGAGCTGCACCGCGTACGTTGCACAAACATTGCACACACATTGCACACAACTGCACACGTGCTGCACCCGCACCTCGTGCGCTACTACGGCTGCGAGCTGCACCGCGTACGTTGCACAAACATTGCACACACATTGCACACAACTGCACACGTGCTGCACCCGCACCTCGTGCGCTACTACGGCTGCGAGCTGCACCGCGTACGTTGCACAAACATTGCACACACATTGCACACAACTGCACACGTGCTGCACCCGCACCTCATGCGCTACTACGGCTGCGAGCTGCACCGCGTACGTTGCACAAACATTGCACACACATTGCACACGTGCTGCACCCGCACCTCGTGCGCTACTACGGCTGCGAGCTGCACCGCGTACGTTGCACAAACATTGCACACAACTGCACACGTGCTGCACCCGCACCTCGTGCGCTACTACGGCTGCGAGCTGCACCGCGTACGTTGCACAAACATTGCACACACATTGCACACAACTGCACACGTGCTGCACCCGCACCTCGTGCGGTACTACGGCTGCGAGCTGCACCGCGTACGTTGCACAAACATTGCACACACATTGCACACAACTGCACACGTGCTGCACCCGCACCTCGTGCGGTACTACGGCTGCGAGCTGCACCGCGTACGTTGCACACACATTGCACACACATTGCACACAACTGCACACGTGCTGCACCCGCACCTCGTGCGCTACTACGGCTGCGAGCTGCACCGCGTACGTTGCACAAACATTGCACACACATTGCACACAACTGCACACGTGCTGCACCCGCACCTCGTGCGGTACTACGGCTGCGAGCTGCACCGCGTACGTTGCACACACATTGCACACAACTGCACACGTGCTGCACCCGCACCTCGTGCGGTACTACGGCTGCGAGCTGCACCGCGTACGTTGCACAAACATTGCACACACATTGCACACAACTGCACACGTGCTGCACCCGCACCTCGTGCGCTACTACGGCTGCGAGCTGCACCGCGTACGTTGCACACACATTGCACACACATTGCACACACATTGCACACAACTGCACACGTGCTAGTACCGCACGGCTGCAAGTATGCCACATACGTAGAAGAGTAAGAATTTGTGTATGGTGTTCAGGAGGAGATGCTGCTGTTCATGGAGTTGTGTGTGGAGGGTTCCCTGGAGGCACTTCTGGGTGCTTCAGGTGCGCTGGATGAGCCAGCAGTCCGCCGTTACACCAAGCAGCTGCTTAGCGCTGTACAGGAGCTGCACTCTCGAGGCATCGCTCATCGCGACATTAAGAGTCAGTACCCTTTCTGATATTGTTACACCTTATGTTGAGCTCTTCACCTTATAAACTGAACCCCTAACACTGAACCTTTTTATACAGAACTAGCTGTTCCCCGCGACTTCGCCCGTGTGTAATTTAGGGTTTTAATGTTTTTGCGTCGTACCGTAATTCTTTTTCGCAAATAAAATCAACCTAAGTTACTCCTAATAACATCAGCTATCTGCCAATGAAAGTCCTTTCAAAATCGGTGTAGCCTATAATTGTATATGTAATTTTAATTTCGGATATTAACCGGAACAAACAGACAGACAGATAAATAGAATTTTTAAAAATTGTGTTTTTGTTATAAGTACCGTATATATGTGTATGCATTTAGTAAAAGCTGTTATTTTGACATTACAAACAGACACTTTCATATTATTTATTTGTCTAGATAAGGGTGCCAAATGAGCACACAGTCCACCAGATGATAAGCAGATGCTGTTGCCCATAGAAGTCTACATCTATTCTCGATTAAGAACTCCTGAGGACTAAGATGGAATGCCGTGTGTTTAGGCCAAAAAAGGTAATTTGTACGATATACAATCACGTTCGACTTCGTGAGTCGCACGATGGCACCAGGTGTCACGCGCATCGAGGAGAGGGGGAGCGGTAGGCAGCTTCCCAACGTGTGACGCTCGTGGGCGAGAGAGAGAGTTGCTCGCTGGCCGCGATGCGTGGAACCCGCGTATCTCGATTATCGCGGCCGAAGTTCACGCGACCGTGTAGGGTCCAGATAGTTAGATTTAGGGCGTGTTACTTCACTACGTATACAATGTGATAATTTTACACTTGATCAAACGAAATGTGCGGATACTAGATAAAAAATTATCGGTAAAAAATCGAAAAAAATTTTTTTTATGTAAACTGTTTAAAAAATAAAAGCATTTGAATTTTGTTTTTGTTAAAATTCCTATCCTTCGGTTTTAAATTATTTTCTCTTTAAGTAAACGGTGTATTTTTTTCAAAGTAGTTTTATTTGAAAGTTAGAAAGATTAACTAGCAATAAAAATTAAAAAAACCTACGATATCAAGCAGGAAATTTGTCAAAAAAATAATAAGATAATTTTTTTGTTAAAAAAATACTTTTCTTTTTAATTTTTGGTCTGTAACTTCAAAACTAGTACGTTGAGATAACCTTTTTAGCATGTTTTATTCAAATACGTAGCTTACTGTATAAGTTCTCTAAAATAACATGCGTTCTATCTTTTTTCGTTGTTAAGATAATCACTAAAAATAAAGTAGGTAATCTGAGCACAAAATTCAAAAGTGATTTAATAATGATTTAATTGTCAAAATTATGGAATAAAACAAAAGAAACCGTAGAAAAATGATTTAATTTATTAAATTTTCAAAATGACCACCATTTTCATCCATACATACAGTTGAACGTAATGCCACACTGCGTACTGTTTTTTTTAATACAGTACGATTTTCTTTTATTTGACTAGCCGCAGCCATTACTTTTTGTAACAATTCTTCTCTTGTACTAATTGGAGTACTGTACACAATCTGTTTCATGTGGCCCCACAAAAAAAAATCTAGGGGGGTCATATCAGGGCTTCGTGCCGGCCACGCTACTGGTCCGCCTCGTCCAATCCATCTGTCTCCGTATAGTTCGTTTAAATGATCACGCACGATGGTGCTGAAGTGAGCTGGAGCGCCGTCATGCTGAAACCACATCTTCCTCTTTGTTTGTAGATCCACATCACTCATCAGGTCAGGTAACTCTTCTTGTAGAAATGTTAGGTAAGCTGGGCCTGTCAACCTTGACGGAAGAATAAATGGTCCGATTAAGTAATCACTTATCATTCCAGCCCAAACATTAATCGAAAATTCGATTTGAAAGGACGCTGGCCGAACTGCTAAGGGATTTTTTTCCTCCGGCATCCACAAGTGAAGGTTTCGAAAATTTGTGATTCCAGTTCTGTTAAAATTTGCCTCATCGGTCCACAAAATACGGTCACAGAATTTCGGGACTAATCGTCTTTGCCGCAATAGCCACGAACAGAAAACACTTCTTCCGACGTAATCTGGCTCGTGCAAATTCTGCACTCTTCGAAAATGAAAAGGGTACAAACATTCCTTTTTCAAAATTTTCCACACTTGGACGTGATTAATCCCCAATTGGAGTGCTATTCGTCGAGTACTAATTGTGGGGTCTTGGTACACCAAACGCAACACTTGTTCATCCACATCCACCGGTACAGTAGAAGCACGTTCACGATGTGGGCGATGCAGTCCATTTTCACTTAGTTCTCGATGTACTGCTAAGAAAACCCTGTAGTCAACGGCAGGTCTTGTCGGGAATCGCTGATGATACTCTCGAGAGGCGGCGCGAGCGTTGCCATCACAAAACCCGTAAATGTAATGAATGTCAGCTACTTCACGAGCAGACAATGAGTCTATCGTAGAAGGCATAACGACGAAAAAAATGGTGAGCGTATTCAACGTGCAAATTAGGTAACGTTACAAGATGAACTGTTTAAAATAGCTAAAGCTGCCTGCATGCCTTACGAGAACGAGACCCAAATTTCATTCAAACGACAATTCACTCTCTCACTCACTTGTTTCGCCTTTCATTGATCTATCTCTTTTTATCTTTACCTGCTATTGTTCGACCAGGGGTGTTCAAATTAGAGGTAGGTGGGGCGCATAAGCGCAAATCAACATACCGATGGCATTCTTTGATGATTATTATTTTAAAATGAAAAGAGATAGAACGCATATTATTTTGGAGAACTTGTACAATAAGCTACGTAGTTTAATAAAACATGCTAAAAAGGTTATCTCAATGAACTAGTTTTGAAGTTACAGACCAAAAATTAAAAAGAAAAGTATTTTTTTAACAAAAAAAATTATATTATTATTTTTTTGACAAATTTCCTGCTTGATATCGTAGGTTTTTTTAATTTTTGTTGCTAGTTAATCTTTCTAACTTCCAAATAAAACTACTTTGAAAAAAATACACCGTTTACTTAAAGAGAAAATAATTTAAAATCGAAGGATGGGAATTTTAACAAAAAAAAAATTCAAATGCTTTTATTTTTTAAACAGTTTACATAAAAAAAATTTTTTTCGATTTTTTACCGATAATTTTTTATCTAGTATCCGCACATTTCGTTTGATCAAGTGTAAAATTAACACATTGTATATGCGAATTTTGCAATATTTAACTTGTTCGGGTGATGCGGAATTGTGCACGGGCGCGCCGTGTAAATATACGGTCTAGGATTCGAATCGCGCATTCCTTGGTCGAGAGCGTCTCCCGGTTGATTGTCTAGAAATCATTATACTTGTGCCGTCGCGTTAATTCCCTTTTTATGTGTTGGTTGGTTTGTTAGTTTACGTGTCAACGAGGCGTATTTTGAATTCTTTTCGCGGCGTGGTGTTTTGGTGTCGAATGAAGGAACTTAGTAGTGTTTAACGCTGAACCGTATGACTCATTAAGAGATCGCGTTAGTTCCCTATTTATAATTTTGTGATAAGTGAATCCGGGATTCTGAATGTCGAATTTTGAACTACTGTCCTTACTGTGTCGGGTATCACGTGTTCGATTCTACGATGAGTGTGGAATTAGGCGAGTTTAAGTTAGTTAAATGTACAATGAAGCTAATAGACTGAAATAGTGACAATGAAGAAAGAAATGGTCCAGCGGTGAAGCCTGCTGGAGCGATGCAGCATTGTAGGGCAGCCTGTAACTCGGCCGCTGCTGGTCGCCTAAGCTGGTCCAGGTCTCAGACATTTACACATCACTAAACACTACTTGCCATGCACCTCACACCCACTTACGGCCTGACCGAGCCTTGGGGCGATCTAAGAGTCGCAAACAGGTACGTACTATATTTCCCTAGCCTTCTCCCATATAGCTTAGTATTATAGGAAATTCTTCCACCAGGCCGTTGGGCCCCGTCCCTCTGCTGCCCGGTATGTACATTTTTGGTAGCAGAGCGTGGTTGGATTGGTTTAATTTTTGTGTCTACAATCACGCCCGGCCGTAATACGTAATAATAAAATTATTTTCCTTTGTTGCTTGCTTTTTTGTTTGTTAGCGGGTAGATTCGAAAGCCGCGCCCGTGGGTTGAGCAAGCGGGAGTTTTGTTAAGGCTAGGTACTTACCGTAGTTTTGTTAAGGCTAGGTAATTTGACTAGGTAGATAAGGTTATCACGTAATCGGATAATTATCGTTTTCGTATAATTATAGTAGATTAATTGTCGAAGGGTCGGTTGTCTGAGCGAGACATTTTTTTTAGATCGACTGTGATGTGTACCTTTATTTGTATTGTACAAATCAAAATACAAATAAAAGTACTGGATCCAATAAATAGTAATTTGTATTTGTGTAATTTGTATTTAACTTGATTTGATGGGAGTTGTATTTGTTATTTGTTAATTTGTAATTTGTATTTGAGCCGCGTAGTAATTTGTATTTAGAAAGTGATGCCGTCGCGCTGCCAGGGCTGTCACCATGCCGTTTTGTGTCTGGGTGCGAACGGCGTTTCCTCTCAGGGCTCTCCCGAGCCCTCGACTCCCACGGGCGGGGGCTTTCAGCCGCGCCCCCTGTCGGGGGGTTGTTTCCCCAGGGGCGGGGGTCGTCACCTCCTCCCTCAGTATGTTAAGAGGGACTTCACTGCCACTCAGCGGTCAGCTAGACCCTTCTCACCCTCGTAAGCTGAGTGGCCGCGGCTCGGGGTACTACTGTTCCCCTTTTGATTCAGGCATCGCCAGCTAGGTAGCTGCTGCCCTAGCTCCCACCACGGCCGCCTCCACTAATTCTGTGAGCCGTCGACAGCTCACTTGTCAAACTGTTCTATTGTCGACGGCCTCAGTGAGGGTTTACAACCCGAGCGTCGCTTGTTTAACGGTACGCGCTTTATTGGTTCCGTGTTCACAACACGGTTGGCCTCCTGCTTAGTTGTTGGGAAGACTAGGGATCCACGGGAGCGTTGAATTGCCCTGTTAGGGATTGTTAGATTTGGTTTTGGTCGAGCACTTAATTAACGATGCTTTAAATTAAAATTAAAAATGGTTTTGTGCCTTTCGCGAAATGTTTCATATTTGTGGCGGTCGTGATTAAAAAGGCGAATTTAATGTGCTCGTACATATTTTTCTGTAATTGTATTTGATCACTGTGTTTGCCCTGTTGAAAGGAAAATTTGAATGCATTTGAATTTGAATTTAATTGAATTGTACAGATAGTTAGATTTAGGGCGTGTTACTTCGCTACGTGGATATGTGAATTTCGCAATATTTAACTTGTTCGGGTGATGCGGAATTGTGCACGCGCGGGCCGAGTAGATATACGGTCTAGGATTCGAATCGCGCATTCCTTGGTCGAGAGCGTCTCCCGGTTGATTGTCTGGAAATCATTATAATTGTGCCGTCGCGTTAAGTGCCCTTTTTTGTGTGTTGGTTGGTTTGTTAGTTTACATGTCAACGAGGCGTATTTTGAATTCTTTTCGCGTCGTGGTGTTTTGGTGTCGAATGAAGGAACTTAGTTGTATTTAAAGCTGAACCGTATGACTCATTAAGAGATCGCGTTAGTTCCCTATTTATAATTTTGTGATAAGTTAATCCGGGATTCTGAATGTCGAATTTTGAACTACTGTCCTTACTGTGTCGGGTATCACGTGTTCGATTCTACGATGAGTGTGGAATTAGGCGAGTTTAAGTTAGTTAAATGTACAATGAAGCTAATAAACTGAAATAGTGACAATGAAGAAAGAAATGGTCCAGCGGTGGAGCCTGCTGGAGCGATGCAACATTGTGGGGCAGCCTGCAACTCGGCCGCTGCTGGTCGCCTAAGCTGGTCCAGGTCTCAGACATTTACACATCACTAAACACTACTTGCCATGCACCTCACACCCACTTACGGCCTGACCGAGCCTTGGGGCGATCTAAGAGTCGCAAACAGGTACGTAATATATTTCCCTAGCCTTCTCCCATATAGCTTAGTATTATAGAAAATTCTTCCACCAGGCCGTTGGGCCCCGTCCCTCTGCTGTCTGTCGATGGGATTACTCATGGGCCCTAGTCCCGTCTATCTTTGTTGGGGCAGCTAGGGGCGTGTATACCGTGTTCTACTATCTCCGGTTCTCTATACTCACTATACGAAACACAACGGCATTGAGTTGAGGCATGCTGGTATTTTGTTAGAGCGTGGTCCTTTCCCGATCGAGCCGACCCATTGGTGCTATAACCATAATATAGTTTCAGCATGGCTCTACCATGCAAATGCACTACAAGTTTCATATGCTTACTATTCCTCGCTTCACGCGGGTTGCTAACCGCAATGAATTCTTTCGATCACCAGTTTTTGGGGTTTGGGATAGGCATACAATGATTTTATACAAAAAAATCCATCCTTCAATCTTTTTGTTTACAAATACAAGCCAGAATAATTGATGGACTAGTAGTTACATATGCCTCCTAACCTCGCATGCCATCACGAAGTTGCCTACCATACAGCACCACCCGCTAAACCAATAACAGCACGTCTTTCAAGACGTGACTCAATTTTTACCTACGTGACTTAAGAATATTCAACATAGTATAAAAAGCAAGGTTTATTTGCTAAAATTGGTCAGTTGTAGTTAAGTTAGCTTGTAAGTTAGAAAATAAAATTAATATAGGAAAAAGTCTTCTTCTTCTTTCACTTCAACCCTCCCTAAGGTGCCGCAAACGTATGTAGCTTGTATGCGTGATTGTATTGTAGTACCCCAATTTGTACAGATGTGCGTGCGTAAGGATACACAAACATTTGCTCTAGAAGTGGGAATGAAATAATGGGGCATTTGTGCATTTATTCGTATAAACAAACATGTAAGAGTATTTTATTTTCTTCTTCCATTTTCTATTGAAAGTATTAAACAAAGTCGCTTCCCGCCGCGTCTGTACGCTTAGCTCTTTTAAACCACGCAACAGAGTTTGATGCGGTTTTCATAAATAGACAGAATTATTTAAGAGGAAGGTTTATATGTATAATATATGCATATTGTATATTATATAATTCTACTGTCCGTGTGTATGTGACTGAACTCCTCCTAAACGGCTGGACTGATTTTGATTAAATTTTGTGTATGTAAATAAGTTAATTAGAGAATGCTTTAGATTCACAAAGGGACCCGGTAGGTGGCGTTGTTGTCGAGATCCAGAAATTAACCGTGCGAAGCCGGGGCGAATCGCTAGTTAAAGTTAAAAATAAAAAAAAATATTATTACACCATTCGCATAGTGTACGTATTGAGTTTGTTAAAAGTTACACGAGTGACTTTTAAAATCAAAAACTGACAATCCACACAATCTAGAAATACAACTTCTTAGTTAAAACTGAAAAGATTAGTCGTCATTTTAAACACTTGTTCTAGAATTTGAACTGAATTCGATGTCAGAATTAAACCGTCATTCATTCGAGCAATTTTTTGTTAACTTTGGAAGATTTGTTTGATCCCAAAAAATTATTATCAAAATTAAATAATATTTTCTATAATTTGGATCATTCGCTATATACCAATTAGGTGTCCGCGTGGTTTAATATAGACTAAAGAAATCGGTCTATTAATAATAAAGTCTAAAGGGCCGCCATTTAAAAAAAATACATTAGGTTACATTTTCGTGATCAAAAGGACTTTTAAGCAAATCTAAAAACAAACATTAGATTTACTCTGTGATATTTTTGTCTACGTTATTCTTTAGTTCTAATAACTGTAACATGCCGTGTGGATTAGCCTTAACAATTTTTTTTAATAGAATAAAGGTGACAGACGAACACACAGTCCACCTGATGGTAAATGGATGCTGTGGCTTATAGACATCTATGTAACTTGGGTTAAGAATCAAAATACAGAAGCGTTGTCACCCCTGAGGATGGAATGTCTCTTTTCTAATAAAAAGGGTCTCCGGTTCTCTACACTCACCATACGAAACACAGCAGCATTAAGCTCATATTTTACGCTGGTGTTCTGTGAGAGCATGGCCTTACCCAGGTCCAGCTGACTTATTCATGCTACAATCATAATGTAACTGCAGCGTTGTTAGACTACGTAGAAATATATGATAAATATTTTCCTTGGGCGCGATAGGTGGCAACATCTTCCTGACGAACGAGGGTCACTGTCTAAAGCTGGGCGATTTCGGGTGCGCCGTGAAGATTCGCAGCAACTCCACCGTGCCCGGTGAGCTGCAGGGCTTCGTTGGCACGCAGGGTGAGTTAACAAAAGAGAGTTGAGTCAGTGAGCCAACAGTTGGGCCAGTGAGTGAGTCAGTGAGTGATTAAGCGCACAATCCTCTTTGAAAGCATGTTTATATATGTTATGTTTGGTATAAAAATATTTTTTTTTTTAGTTAAATAGAATATGGAAAGTTTTATATTTAAGGAATTAAACATTTTGTGGTGTGTGACGTCCGCCGACATGCATTAGTGCAACGCTGCGAACTAAATGCTGCATTATCTTCTCTGATAGAAGTCCGTTTGTGGCGATATATGTATGTATGTGTGTATATATGTAGTGTATGCATGTATATGGAAATGAGGTGATCGCTACTAAGCTATTTCTAATTTGTTGTGTTGTTAATTTGTGTAACATCATGATTGTAAGCTGTTATTTTTAAAAAAAAGTCCCGCTGGGTTTGCTGGTTCTTCCCAGGACAGAGATTTTTTTTTCTAACCAGTGGTAATTATACGAAAGAGTGACTTTCAATAAGTATTATTTATAATCTATATTGAATAAAAAGTTTCTGTTTCTGTTTCAATATGTGTATGTATGTATTTATATATGTATATATTGTGTGTATTTAAGTATATATGTCTATGTATGTGTGTGTATATGTATTTTTATATGTATATACAATATTTTTAGCGCTTTCTATTTTGATTATTGCTGCACCGACTCTTACGTTATGTCGATCTCTGTTTAGCTTAATGGTTGACTGGGAGAGAATGCCCTATGGCATTAAGTCCGCCATATGTACAACTTTATGTATGAAAGATTAAATAAATAAAATAAAAAATGAGTCCGTTTGTGGCGAACTTACAGTCCACCTAATGTAAAGTAGCCATGACATTTGGAGTCAGGCTTGTTGGTTGGTTAGTAATTTCTTATAAAGAAAGTTACAGACGCGTTGTCACTTATAAGAAATAAAATGGAACGCTTCATAGTTTGTAAATACTGTTTCTCTATACGCTTTAGACCGCAACGCAGCGTTGCTATTCGGCGGTAGAAATTGGTAAAAGAGAGTATCAGTTCTACTATCTGGACTACATGTAGTTGACAATAGTTTGTTTAGTGTCTAGCCATCGTATCACTAGACGCTTCGCAACTTCATCATCAGCAATTTGTATACTTATGGTGATGGTTTATCTTATCGTGCGTATGTTTCTATATATAAAATGACAAGGGAGCTGATAATCCACCTGATTCTAAGAGGCTTCTGTGGCCGATAGATCTCTATTACCGTTACGGCCTATTAAAGTCCACTGCTGAATATAGTCATTGTCACGCCATGCGGGTTGGCAACCCAGTTTTTTAGTCGTTATTAGGAAGATGCTACTCATCGTCAGATTTGTTTCTCTCTGTCGCCTCTAACGACACCCACGGAATGATATGGGGTAGTGAATATTCTTACATAGCCACTTTACAAAGATTACTGTTATTGATTAAGAATCAAAATATGATTTGTTCAGATGCGTTGTCACCCGTGAGGACTAAGGTGCAATGTTTCGTTACCAGTTAATTTGCATTTATTTAAAATGAAAAAGGATGCGGAGTGAATTCGGTCTGGGGGACATTATTATTACATATTTTAAAAAAACTATGAAGTGGTTAAGAGTGTTATGTGTGTGTACGTTGTGCAGCGTACATGGCGCCCGAGGTGTTCATGAAGTCGTCGGGGCACGGGCGCGGCGCCGACGTCTGGTCGCTGGGCTGCGTCGTCACCGAGATGGCGTCCGGCAAGGTGCCACATCACCACACCCACTCCAACACACAAATGCCGTTAACACTGATTTATAATCCGAACAATATACACCATTACATGATATTATATTCATTCTAAATGCATATGTGAACCGTGTGAGTAGTACCAGTGGTAGAGCACTCTTGCTACCTGTGTGAAATAATTACTTACAATCGCGAGACAGAGTCGAGGCTAGCGCGTTCTAGGCAATTGAATGTTAAAGTTTTTTAACGCTGTTTACGTAAATAGTTTTTTATAAATACTTGTTGAAATAATTTTACTATATTTAATTGTAGGATAAAATAGTTGAAAAACTTTTAACGTAATTTAAAAATAAAATATATGTATATTATCTACTATATAGGTATATACATATTACCTATCTATTTGATAAATGATAATGGCAAAACGTTCTTATATAATTATTGCGGGGATGGATGCTTAGTAAGCAAACAAAAGAATTCAGATATATAATTTTTTTAAGTTACCAAAGAATAATGAAAGGTGAATTAATTTAATTTCGTTTTGTTAAAAAGGTACTTGTAGCGAAAAAAAATTAAGTAATAATTTTACTATAGAAGTAATATCTAAGTACTTTATTACAAAACTTAGTGAAATTTACTTCACTATCCAAATACCTACTTACATACCTATACATACTTATCTTTTATAATTAAAATATTTTAAGTTATAATTACACAAAATATTGAAATTAAAACTTTATTTACAAGATTTTCAACTAAATAGAAGAACACGAACATATTTCTGTTATTAATCGTATTTCAGGTTTATTTCAAAACGAAAATATATCAATCCATCATAGTCAGAATAGGTACTTTACCTAAGTTACTTACTTACCATTTCACAATGTATTTTTTTACTCTTTATTAACACCAGTAGTGTAGTTGTACCACTTCTAGACCACCTGAGTCAGACGTGGTTCAACGACGTTCGTCGACGCCCGATCCTAAAAAAAAAAAAAAAAGGTTTTGGCATGCTCTGATCACGAATCCGCGGTCCATTTTTGTGTAGAATGCACGGTTCCAGAGATGTGTAGATCAATTAGCTAATATCTAATTGATATCCGGTAAGGGCCTCCACCGTCATTAGCGTCCCATTGTTCCTATTTCTATTGTTCTATTGTTCATTAATCACCTTCATTGCAGCGTGTGCGTCGACTATATCAGTGCTATTGTGTTATAGTTCTTTGTTTATACAACGGTAATCTGAATCATCAATAAAACACATTACATAATTTTGTTACAATTTTTATTTATAAAATACAAAATCTTATTAATTATTATCTATAAAATAGGAGCGAAACATCTCATCCACTAAAATATCGTTGTACAATGTGTTCCTTGTAAATATACTCGTAAAACTATGTATTGAACATCCTTGAAACTTATATAGCAAATACATTAAGCAATATTCGCCACAAACTGAAGTCCACTCATTCTGAATCCTATCAACATTCCAGTTCCATCTTTTACAATTCCTTTTTAAAAACTCTAGATGATATCGTACAGGTGATCGTCCATATGAATCAAAATATTGACCGACGTCATTCGTATCGATATATAAAGCTACCCAATGTGACCCTGGTTTATCATCTGTATCCAAATTACATATTATATACGTTGGTACGTGGGTATACATAGGCAGTCTATTAGCTGCATAAACATTATTTTCTAGACTGGGGTGAATCTTTTTCAGATGTTGTTGTACATCTAGTGTATCCATGATATTACTGCTATTAGTAGATTATTACAGTACCTAGCTACTCAATGAATAACATAGGAATGGTCAATTATAGTGATTTCTACATATTAAATTGCATTTTTGTGATATACAAATCGTACTTGAGTCATTGATCACCAAAGAAAACACAATACGAAGAAATGTTGAGATAGGCAACGGAAATGTGAGATAAACTGATATGTTTCTAAATATTAAATTGCATTTTTGTGTTATACAAATCGTACTTGAGTCATTGATCACCAAACAAAACACAATACGAAGAAATGTTGAGATAGGCAACGGAAATGTGAGATAAACTGGTTGACGCATAAAGTAATTATCAACTCATTACGGAAATACTTTAGATTAGAATTTTTACGTACTGGTGGTATATAAGACCAACAAACGCAGTCATCGAGTTAGTGTACGGTCGTTTGGCTACAGTGGATCTATCAATAGTACATTTGTGTTACTTCAATACACCAAAGGCTATGGATGTAAGTGTTTATTCTATTGACTAAAGATGTAAGTGTTTATTCTATTGACTAAATTACTTTTTTTCTGTTATTTTCATGTGTGTGTGTATTATTTTATTTAAATATTGTGTATGTATATGATTAAGCCGTGGTAACTCAGATGGTTAGCGCTAGCTGTAAATTTCACAGTACGCGACCCGGGTTCGATCCCCGCCAGCACCAATTAAATTGTTAATAGCAATTTTAAGTGCTTATTACCACGTGCTTGGTGGTGAAGGAAAACATCGTGAGGAAACCTGCATGTCTGAGAAAATTTCGAAGGCATGTGAAGTTCGCCAACACACATTGAGGGAGCGCGGCGGACATTTCCTTGCTCTAAAACCCTCTCAGAAATCTCGAGGGTTTTTAAAATATATTATATAACTTGAGTTTAAAGATATGTCTCTTTGTCCTTTACCCTGATGAAATAAATTTTGTGTTAGATAAAATACACTAAGATTCCTGTGATGACTACCTTTTGTAAATATATCCACAATTCTTCCATCGGACTCTCTCATTAGATCATCAATAATAACAAGATGTGGGTTTTCACCATCAAACATATTAAGATTTGGAATTCCTTGATGATAGTTAACATTTGGTAAATTATATAATGGTTGCATTTCATCAAAGCACCATGTGATCTGATTAAAATCACAATTACATATTTCTGTAACTGATTTTATGAAATTTGTTACAAAATTTGACTTCCCACACCCACTTGGTCCTGCCACAATAGCAGTGAACGGATGGATAAAGTGAAACATAACACACGTCTAAAGTTCAAAGGGGTGAAATAAAAAATGAAAGTGTTGGTGTAAACAATTAATATATATTCCAAAAATTATATAAAACAGAATTATCTGTATACTATTTCTAACACAATTAGTACATCATAATTTTACAATTAACTCAACCTCAAATAAATAGAAACAACAATTAGTACATCATAATTTTACAATTAACTCAACCTCAAATAAATAGAAACAACAATTAGTACATCATAATTTTACAATTAACTCAACCTCAAATAAATAGAAACAACAATTAACTTAAATTATTTACAATAAAACAATGATTAAATATGTAATAAACTACGTCATATTATAGTATTATCATAATTTTACAATCAATATAAATTTTTCTTAAACGCAGACATAAAAGTAAAAACTATCAACACTTAACGCAGTTTATAATGACCCCAAGCTAATGTTTCAATATTATTATCTAAAATATGTCTCTTTGTGTCATTATATGATAAACCTATCTTATTTAATTTTTGTGTGAAAATTGTGTGTTTAATTGATTTAAATCTAAGCATACTATAATATTGCACTTTTTTATTAAATAGAGAAGACTTATAACTATTCATTGTCATCTTTTTAGTGATACATTTATTTACCCCTTTTGCCTTGGCTATAGTCTTATTCTCTAAGTTAAAAGCGTACATTTTGGATCGTAAACCCACAAATTCTTTCATGATTTTACCATTATTTTCATCTTTAAAAAAACCTAATTTCTTTTTATTTAATTTTGGATATTCAAAAATATTATTTGTATCATAATCTGAGGTATCAAAGTATGATGAAAGGTCAGGTTTTATATCAGTGTAAAAATCATTTGTAAATATATGATATATTAAACTATCCGTATCTGTATACAATAATTTGATTTTACTAAACTTTTTAATCATATAGTTATAATGAAAATCATACATTAATGTTTTTGAAATATCTAAAATGCAAAACCCTAAATAAATTGGTTTGTTATATATTAACTTCGTTTTTCGCAACTGAACCGCAACTAGGTTTTCCGAAAATATTGAAAGGCTATGAAATTGTGGTTTAGCGATTAGATCTTGAGCACCTAAAGCTTTACCCTGGTTCTCCCAGTGCGTAACTAATTTTATGTTAACCCTTTTTTCAATATTCTCCATAGTCTTACCGAAGACTGAATTATTCATTAATTTATAAAAATCTTTTTCGAAATCTGATTTTGCTAAAGTTCTTAATTTTGTGTTTAGGTCTATGTACATCTTCAACCAGGGAGACTGTTTAAATTTTAAAACTCTATGAATTTTAGTTAATTTAACCCCCATTTCTATGCACTGCTTTAAATTTCTGTAATGAATTACATATTTATCTTTATTATTTAAATTTGGGACTAGTTTATTCTCATTAATATTGCCTACACAAATGTTTTCTGGACATAAAGGAAAGTCCGAATGTAAATCATGAAGTTCATCTGGATATTCCAAATCAACTTCTAAAATAAAACCGAAGTCTGATGTCTTAGACACATTAAATTCTGTATTTGGATTTACCCATTCGAATCCACCAGTAGGAAGATATTGAGACATAGCCCAACCATATAAATTGTTGGCATCAAAATATGTGATATATGAATTTGGTTTCCCTGTATCATAATCCTCCATGTATTTGTTATTAGCTCTAGCATAACGATTACTACATTGAGATACACCACCTCTGATACCTGATCTAATAAATGCAATTTTCTCATAATCTGTTAAAAGTTCTAATTCTATTTTGTATATTTTAACATTGCATCCCAACTTAAACCGGGTGCTGTGTAATAATGGACAGGGTCTAAATCATATGTATTAATACATAACTTTCTAAAGTTTTCAAATACATCGGATAAAAGTAAAACGTCTGTTTTTAAATATAGGTTTGAATAATCTAGCATATTACAACACCCAAAATGTTCCCAAACATCTTTAGCATG